AAAGAGTGTTACCTTATATGTGAACCTGATAAATTTTTTTGCGTAACATTATGTTTATCTGTAGAAATCAACAATACATCCCTTGTACGGAATCATAATTCATGAGACTCACAACAATCTTTAGAAATTTCATAATAATAATACATTCAGATCTACTTTACAATAAACGTCTAAGATAGCTAAAGAATTCTTCGAAATCTTCCTTTGATCTTGAACTCCCTCCTGACCTTAACTAATCTGCACTAGGAGGGGGATGTGAATTAGGATGAGCATCACAGATTTAGTAAGAATAAAGTAGTGTTCAAAGTAGAGATATGCAAACATTCATTCATACAAGCTTGATAAAACCAATGTAAATTTCATATTTATAGAAATCTAATTTGCAAAATAACCTTACTCATCATCATTTTCACAAGTATAACAAAAGAAATGATTAAAAACCACATCCTTTTCATTACCCATTCCAACATATTTATATCTAGGTACCGTACATATTATTCTCATTAATAAATATCATCATATCTTATTGGATTCGTAATTAAATAATTTTGTTTCATTCACAAATACTATCAACTACACTAGATACATATCCAGATCATCTCCATTTCTATTATATATTGTTATTTTCCTTACCGATATCACTGGGGGCCCATAGGGATTTTTACTACACGCGGATGTATAAACATTTTTTTTACAGTTCATTGGCCGTTTTCATACCCCGTCCGGTAATGAACGCCATAATTATAAATTGTTTCAATACCCCGTCCGATATGAACGTAATTAAATCAATTGCTAACCATGTTCGGTATGGGACTTCCCAACCCCATACGACTGAGAACTCATCCACAGTAGGGTTCACTCTATGTACCAAGTCCGTACACTATCTTCCATGATACCCGGTGAGCTTTTTCTTCTTCAAAAATTGTTTCTATTTCATATCCTAATTTTAGAAACCCAAATATTCTTGATATTTTATTCTTTTTCTACCAAAATATTATATTTATATATTTGAAGGAAAATTAACATTCGACAATAGTATCAATTTATATTCTCACTCACACAACCAATAACCAATCTCATCACTCTCACACATCTATTTACATAACTGATATGCGTACTCATTCCACTCATAATGAGTATACATAACAACAAATTACTCACACAAAATCATTTGAGCAAGCAATCACATGCATACATGTATGTCCAACATATACAGTTTATATCATATTGAACATACACCCAACGTACTAAGTAAGCAACGAGCAACTGTAATCCATATCTACACACATTGCTTACTTAAATTTATCTTGTTACCATTATATTTAACCATAAACCTATTCTAATTATGTACATATATATACTTTCTTACAATATACATATTTTATCTAATTATGATTTAACACACATAAACTACTTATACTCATACAAAATATATACATCTATATTCTCACTTCAAATATGCATATAAGCGGTTTCTACACCTACGAAACTACCTACATTATTTTACACCTACACACATACGGATTTTTGTATTTACGGTCATGCCAATATACATATATATATATATATATACATTTTTGTATAGTTTCCTATGTATCAACATATTACATACTCATATATATATAGCTACATACGTAAATATGCCCTAGAATCCATTTACTTTTTATGCATGGAATCTTATACGTTAAATAAACAACAACCTATGTATACTATATTTTTACCTATTCATTCACGCACGACATTTTGTATCTATATTATTATACATATACCCTATACGACACCGATGCTCAATACACACTCACTCACATATATATGAAACTTTGCAAAATACCTTTCAGGATAATACTTAAATCATCTATCAAACTTTTAAATTAATAATTTTGAAATCAATAAATCATTTTATGAAAACATGAAATCCTTGAATGAAAACTAATTTAATTCTTACAAGGATCTCCAATTAAAGAAGAAATAGCAAAGCTTTCGCACGACTTTGGTTCCATACAGTCGCCTCCCTTTTCAGTTTCATATTCATAATTTTCCGAAGATTTTCATAGACATGATTAAGAATTTAATTTAAAGTAATAAATGAATATAAGGTGGAAGAAAATTTACCAAAATCGGTGTCAATTTTGGGCTTTTTATCCGAAAGAGTGCGATTTCAGTCTCTCTATTCGGGTCCCTGATTTTTAGCATTGCACGGATCTTTGAACAGATCTGGAACACCACGTCGTGGTCTGCTTCACGCGGATCAAGTCCACCCAACACGCATTTTGCTTCTTTTTCCTCAGCAATACACGCCGCACGCCGGACACAGCGCGTCAAACATCGTGCATCCCGCACCGTGCGTTGTGCGCCGCCCCGCCCAGCATCGCACATCGTGAGTTCAGCACTGCGCGCAATTTTGCTTTTTCGGTCGTGCACACCGCACGCCCGACTTCCTTCGTCCTTCTCCTTCTCCTTCTCCTTTTCCTTCCTCTTTTTCTTTTTTTTTTCTTTTTTTTTCCTTCTTCTTCTTCAGTAGTGCGCACCACGCGCCCAACATCCTCTTTCCCCGCTATAGGCGCCACGCGCTATGCCCCCTTCTTCCTCCTTTTTTTTCTCCTCCTCCTTCTTCTACTAGGGTTTATTTATTTTCTTTTTTTTTTCCTTGGCCTGGGCCTGGGCTCCCTTCTCTTCTTTGGGCTTGGTTATTATAAATACTATAAAATAATCTAAACAAAATTTAGGTTATCAAAATTAAAGCACCCAATTATATCAAAACATAACATTGGTAGATTTGATTCTTTTAAGTATATTTAGATTGGCCATTTTCTCCAGGTCTTCAATTCCCGTTCTTCTTTTCTTTGACATTTAAAGCACTTAGTTTATCAAAAACTCAATCAACGTGTACAAGTGATGTGATGTGATGTGGAGCAATACAAAATCCTTTCTAATGGCTTCCTCCACAATGTTAATTAATTTTTGTCAAAACTTACATTATAACTTTTTTATACTTTTTAGGAATTATCTTTCTTATGAATTACAATTTTTATACTAACTATAGTCGTTGTTAATGGGTTAGGTGTAGAATCAAGTTGGAATTTTTTTTTTTTCAACTTAAAAAATCTAATCATGTTGTTTATAACCACAATTTAATTTACAATTCAGACCAAGTCATTATTTAAATTTTTAATTTTAATTTTAAACTAAAAATAGGAGGAATTATGTATACGAAATTCTTATTTTTATCATAAATTATTCTAAAAATATAAATTAAATTGAAAATGGTCTTATTATTATCACACTTTATAATTGAAATGTCAAATTTCTTAACATATCAAAAAATTACCTTCCATCAAATTCACTTCAAAATTCTAATTGGGCATAAAAGATTTTAGCATATATTGCGTGCTACTATTATATTATTGTACTAGAAGTGATTAATCTATCGAAAAATAAATAAATATATATATTTTTTTACTTTGATTAATTGAAATTCGATTTTTAATAACAATATTGAGGGTTAAAATTTTAAATACATTTACATGGGTTTGATTTTTAAAAATTTAATTTTACTACACGAAATTTATTGAATAACACCACTTACCATAGAAAAAAATAAAATAATAAAATTTAAAAAAAAAACACACCATCATGCCGACGTAATGGGCTTGATTTATGTTTATTAAAAAAATAAAGAATAAAATAAACTAAATAATAAAAAGGAATAAAATAAATTAAAAGACGAACCTGCCCCGATTCCTACGGATCGTACGTACAAAAATGTGTTTGCTTTTTGGCAAGAGCATATATATAATATACACACGCACACACAGACACATATATATATATGGTTTCTAAAAGGAAAATCCAAATGGCTAAGGTAAGCAGATAGTGATAGCACGAGATCCTGCAAGTAGTATTATCAGGGGAAGGTCTCTTCTGTACTTTAAATGATAAATTCTCCCTCTCCATAAACACCGAAGAAGAAAAAGGAGAAAATGGATCTGGATTGGTTAACGGAGTTCTTGAAAGGTATGCTGAAACCAGTTGCTGCAACTGCGGTGGTTCTCATGGCGGTTTTGTTATCGTTTATGCAGAAGCTTGGTCTGGAAGGAGAAATGATTTATTCTATTTTAAGAGCCTTTTTACAACTCTCTGTTATTGGCTTTGTTCTTCAGTTCATTTTCAACCGGCAAAACATTGCTTGGATCATTCTCGCTTATCTTTTCATGGTACTTAGAAGATTTAATTTCTTACTCGAGTTAATTAAAAAGCATGTTTGAATTCAAAGAAAAGAAAATTTGAATTCAAATTTCTTCAATTATTAAGATGATAATAAATGAAAGATCTAGAAGGACAGAGAGATCTAATTCAAATTTCTACATATTGCAGGTATCTGTAGCCGGTTATACGGCGGGAGAACGTGCTAAGCATGTACCGAGAGGAAAATATATCGCCGGAGTTTCTATACTCGCCGGAACTTCAATCACGATGTTCTTACTGGTTATTCTTCGTGTTTTCCCTTTCACTCCTCGTTACATCATCCCTGTCGCCGGTATGATGGTCGGAAATGCCATGACTGTCACTGGAGTCACCATGAAAAGACTTCGCGACGACATCAAACTACAGATGAATCTGGTAATTTCTCAATTAATTAATCGATTATGCAAAAATTGAATTGAATGATAAATTGAATTTGTTGCAGGTGGAAACAGCATTGGCGCTTGGAGCAAATCCAAGACAAGCAACAATGGAGCAGATGAAAAGAGCATTGATTATTGCAGTATCTCCAGTTTTAGACAATGCAAAGACTGTAGGATTGATTTCTCTTCCCGGAGCAATGACTGGTTTGATCATGGGAGGAGCTTCTCCTTTGGAAGCTATTCAGCTTCAAATAGTTGTAATGAATATGCTCGTACGTGCTTCTACTGTAAGCACCATAGTTTCTACTTATCTCTCTTGGCCAGCTTTTTTCACAAGCGCTTATCAGCTTCAGACAAAGTCTTCTCTTCTGATTGACCTTCATCAAAATTCTCTGCAATGTAAATTCAATTTCTCTGCTTTCTCTACTTTATTGACTTAATTTTCATTTTTCTACTAAGTTCTTACCAAATTTTTGGGTCTTAAAATTTCTTCACATGTGTAGTTCATAGTGATTTTAAAAATTCGTAGTTAAATACATAAAACTATGATTAAAAGAATATATTTATATACAGTACATCATATTAATTTCTATTTTTTTTTTTCAAATGGTTGACTTGAGAATAATATGCAGGTACAAGATTCTTCTTTGCTTTTTCTTTATTGAAGAACATTTAAAAAGTTCCTTAGAATAATTAATTTAGAAAGCTTACATCTTTAACTAGTTACAAATTACTCGTATAAGCGCACAAAAAAGAGTGTGTGTAATTCACAAATTAGTATAAGGAATGTTAAATAATAAAAATTGAAGTATGAAGAATATAGAAAAACAAAAATAATTTTAAAATAATTCAATCCAATTAAATAGTTTGACTATTTATAATCAAGAACTTCAAAATACACCGAGAAATTATTTACTTTTACGTTTTAGGTATAATCAAGTAATTAATATACAGTCAATAGTTAAAACTTAATCAACGAATCAATTTGAACTTTGTATTTATTAACTTTAATTTTATATTTTTCTCTTACTACAAAAAATCACATACGAATCATTTTAATTTTTAGTACTAAAATTTTTTTATTTCTTATTTTTTAAAAATTATTTATATTCTATGTACATTACATACATTAAGATAAAATTTTAAAAAAATAAAAGAATAATTTCAAAAATTTTATTTCCAAATTTTCAATCAAATTGGCAAATTTAAATACAAAAATTAGTATCTAGAATTCAAACATTTTACAAGATATCCAAATTTTTTTATCTTGTATGAATTGCCTTCAACATTGGGTTATTTTTAATAAGAAATTTGAATTAGAAAGATATTTGTTACCATAAAAATTTTCAATATTTTGGTAAAAGCACAATTATTACAAAACTTAGATTATCAGAAACTACCAGAAACATAAAGTCAATATGGAAGTTGTATCATGTTTATTCTTCAAGTTTTTTTGCTTCATTTTTTTTCATAGACAAAACAGGGAAATTCACCTGCATTGTACATGCTTAATTTTTATTTCAAGTTATGGATGCCATTTTGAAAGAAAAAAAAATGAGTCTTACCTTCGACATCCCCCACTTGCGGTTAAGATAATAACTTCGGTCATGACCAACTTTCATAATATAACGAACAGTATGTATAAAGTTTAATAACGAATTTATTATTGTATAATTGACCGGAGTCGTCCAAAATTTAATTAATTTTTTTAAATATAATTAGGTTTCATAAAGTATTCAAAATGAATTGAATTTAACATATATGTGTATATATATATATAAAGTTAGTAATGGGGGCATCATATTAAGTTACATCACCAAATTGAAAATATTAACTACACATGATTAAATATGAATATATAGGTATAAATTAATTGTCTGTAAAATATATATGTATGTACATATTGATGTACATATTTACATACCTGTATAAATTCATGTATTTATTTTTTTCATACATGTATACATTACAACAAATGGTTTAATACCCTACGATTCGACCGACGTCCGTCGCACGCCACGTAAGATCGTTTCGCTTAACGTGGCAGAATCTTGACAGTGGGTGCGTAATGCGCACTCTGCGTATGCAAGACGCAACCCGACTCCAATAACACGGTGATTGAATCGGTCATGATCCGCCCACTAACTTCGCGCTCCCTCTCTCTGCACGCAAGAAGAGTTTAGAAACCGCCAAATAATTTAATGAAAGAAGAGGAAAGCTAACTTTAACATCTTCTCCTCCTTGATCATGGCCGCTCCTAATCTTTTCTTGGAAATTTGGTTAGTGGATTAATCAGTTTAATCAAAAGGTAATTGAAGATTAAACTAGGGTAATTGAACTAGCAATGCCGATCCGGCATATGCTTACGTCGACTCGTTGTTGCACTTTCCTTTTCTGCTGGATTTTCCTCAGCTGGTTTCCGGGTACATTTTCTCCGCTAACAAACGGATTCCATTTTATCTGATTTTAGTTTAAATCGTAGAGATTGATTTCATTCGATAACGTCTGCTTTTAATCCCCTAAACCTTTCTTTCAAATTAACTATCTACGAGGTTTACAAATTATCAGAAATAGAAACCTGTTCATTGAATATTTGATGGTAGCTATAACCTTAGCCTTTAGGTGTCAATTCGGAGTCTGAAGATGGAGGATGTCTGTTTTTCTTTTCAGGATTTCTATTTTCATCAGTAGTGACACTCGATTCTATTCAGATTTTTACAACACACGAGTGGTTTAAATCAAAACCAACAGTTTATTTTCAATGTAAAGGAGAGAACAAGACGGTCTTACCCGACGTTAAGGAACCTGATGTATTGTATAATTTCAGAGGTGAAGAATCTTGGCAGGTACGTAAGCGACTGAATTTGTTTGTAAGGACTTCTCAGATCGCATGCATTTCTGGGCTTACTTTTATCTCCGATTTGTAACTCATGTTTAGTTGAATAGAAATATTGGAGTTCTAAATCAATTTATCCACGAAATTTTGATGGAGATTTCTTGCTCTCTGCATGCATAGTACGTGGAGAAAGACATAACCTGCTAAACTTTTCTTAAGAATTCAATGTTAGTTTATGATCATGTAGAAAGAAAAAATAACAACTAAAAGTATTATAAAATAGAACTTAATGACCAAAAAATTGCAAGATTTTGCAAAAACTTTATAATGCACTCTGCAGTTTAATAGGTGCTGATGTTTGGCATTTACCAGGGAATTAAAAGGTAAAAAAGATGAAGATTAGAAATTTTGCAATAAAGTTGGAGGGACAAGGTGCTTCATTTAACCGACTATGTACCATGGAAGTAATTTGGAGTTGTATTATTTCTGCTTGAATATTTTCTTGGGTTTTCATTAGGAGATGGTACTGCCAGTATCATAGTGCATTATCTTTGTGGATTGATTTAAAACTGGTATTTTTTTTCAATTAAAACATTCCAATGAAGTTATCAATTTTCATTTGATGTCCCGAGAAATGTAAGCTTTTCCGACAATATATGATAGAACTTTTTGGCTTGGGTCTGCTTTGTTAATGATATGTTGCTGGAACTCGGATACAAGTTTCTGATATGGGTGTAGATCTAAATATTTGACTCGATAATTTTTTTACAGTCAATGATGCAAAAACTCAGTCAATTAAGTCCACAGATTGGATATGGAAACTTATATTCATTTTGTCTAAAGTAGTAATAAAACTAATATAACCTTTTTGGGATCTATGACAATATCTTATACATAAAAAATACACTATCTTTGGCACAAAAAGATTTTAGACTCATTAGTAATATACATACTTGATTAAGTATTTAATATTAAAAATTAAAAAGTTTAGACATTCAAGAATATGTACTTCTATGTATGGTTCCTTTTTCAATTGCTATCTTAAGTTTATCATCATCCTCATATTATCATTCATCATAAGCTTTTCTAGATCACTCCGGCTGAAGGCATGTCTGCCTGAGTATCACATACAGTCGCAAGTACTTTCAAAAGAAAAAATCTTTTCTAGATCACCAATTGTCTATAATGCCACCAAGTGCTGGATGCATCCCATGTCCACACCAATAGCTTGTTGTGTCTGACTCGGATATGACACTAAAATTAAAAATCTAGGCAACGTAGAGTTAATGTAAGTAAGATATTGAGCTACGATGGCAAATTTGATGGTTGCATAATCATTTTAGGATTTGGATTCCAAACCATATTTTTTGATGTTTGCACAAGCTTGTAACTCCATATGTTTTAACATCCTCCTTCATTTGACTTCATTCTTTCACTGTGGCATATAGCTTTAGGGGAGTTAATTGGGTAAATGGCTGGTTTGGTTAGAGAGGAGTTTTTGGCTTGGAGAGGTATCCACAGGGATGTCTTTCAAGAAGAGCGCAAGCCTTATTCCTTTGGCTGTAGTCTATGGGTTATATGGAAGGAAAAAGATAAAAGGGCTTTTGAGAACATAAAATTTTCTTTTGATAAACTTAAGGATACTTAGTTTTAGACCTTAAGTTTTTTTATTAATGGTCATCCTCTTTACGCTAGTGAATATTTAAGGGATTTGATCAGCACTTTGATAAAATTACAAAGCTTTTGTATGTGGGTTGCACCTCCTTGGTGCCTTTTTAATACTAGACCTTTTAAAAAAAAAAAAAAAAAAGAATTTGGGCCCATGTTTTCAGCTGTTGTTTTCTGTTTTTCTCTCTGAATTCAACTACAATATTTATATGCAAAATTGTGTTTAAGTATCTGGAACTTGCTTATTTACTGTTAGCTGAAGCAAATTTTTTCAAAATTTATGCATTCCTTGTTTTGTTTGATTCTATGGAAAGTTGCTGCTTAGTATGAAAATGTTTATTTGGTGTAGCTGATGCTCAGATTATGATTTTTATTGCTTCAGCCTCTTACAGATCTTCCCAGCACAAAGTGCAAGCGATGTGGATTCTACGAGGAAGACACCCTTAAATCCGATGACATATTTGATGAGTGGGAATTTTGTTCTTCTGATTTTATGACCAATGGAAAATATTTGCACTTCAAGGAAAAGGAATTAAATGTTTCCTTTCGATGTCCTGAATGCAAACCAAATCCAGCTGGTATGTGTCCTGCATTGTTTCTCTGTTGAAGTTTATGATATAGCATTTTTTACTATTTCTAGGAAAGAAGTTTGCATTAATGGATAGTCTCTAGTTGCTTCTTGATATCTTTTGAATTTCATGGAAATGAATCTTTTCACATTTACTTCGAAAAATAAATAATTTGGATGGATTTGCCAGGTCCAGGTATGTGCCTGGAATTGCATCCGTCACCAAACATTTTATATGAATTTTTCGCCTTTCAATTAAAAGTCCTGAATCTTGGACAATTTTGGATATAGTAATTTTTCTATGAAATTCTGAAAAATAGTCATGCATGAAATATTCCTCAAGCTGAGTGCCTGAATTTAGATTATGCCATTATAGGTAAGCAGAAAAGCTCTTTGTCGTGTGCATGTATCTCTTCTATCAAATGATTGAGGGAAATATGAGAAAACTCTCTATGTATCTTACTGTAATTAGGTTCATTATTCGAAAATGGTAGCTGATTTAAGTTTGTTGTGTGTTTTTAGCCTCCAATGCAATATCGCCACACCACAACAAAGAAAAGGGAATGAATGTCGCTCTTGTAATAGGAATCAGTGTTATGGTCTCAACTGTGGTGATTATTGCAGTTGCAGTGGGATATAAGTACTGGCAAAGAAGGAAGAGGCAGCAAGATCAGGCCCGGTTTCTGAAACTGTTTGAAGATGGTGATGACATTGAGGATGAATTGGGCCTTGGAACTGTAATATGATGACTGATGATGGTAACTTGATTACCTCTTGTACAGTAAGTTGATCTTACATAAAATTCTACTACTGAGGAAAAAGAAAATGGAAAATGTTTTTGTTATGTGCAAAAGTTTAAATTCCATATGAAGAACCATGTGTTCTGAGGTGTATAGTGCGAATCACTTAAGTGTCAGTCTCCTTGATGTCCAGGTTTATTGATCAATAGAATCGTAGTGCATATTTCTTGAATAAGATCTGCGTGAAACAGATTATTGTGTTGAAAGTAGGCAAAAATTTACCAAATCAAAGAAATTAGCAAAAAATGTGTGTTTTAGATTTATTGATCTAGAGATCGGCAATTCTTTGAAAGATGAACACTGGAGTTACACAGACATATACTTCACTAACTAACCATCACTGTCTGTTTGATTGTGAAGTAAACAAGGCCAATAGCCAAAAATAGATTCGCAAAGTGTTCCATCTATTCTATGATTGTATGTAGGTTCAAGATCTTGCCTGAAATAGTTGTGAGGATCTTCCTGTTCACCATCTCTGGACCATAACCCACAGCCAGACCAAGGATTATAATCATAATCAGCCCGGTTATCAGCATATCCACTGTAACTGATATTACTATCACACTCTTCTTCACTTTGGAGAGAATCTTGTAATTCTTCCAAACCATTATCGTATGTGTTATCTTTGTCGTCATCATTGTCATTGAAGAAGAAATTATCTCCCCAGCAACAATCAAAACGAGAGTCACGCTCAGCTTTCCAGTCCTCCCAACCACTTAATGGAGGCTCTACATATTCACATCCTACTTCTTGCCCATGAAAGTTGAAGCCAGAAATAGTATCGAATAGCAAAGGGGCTTCTCGATAAGCATGTTGAACATCATCAATCCAATCAAGAATACATGGATGATTGTGAACTGTCTGCATTTCTCGCATCTCGGAAGAGTAGTAAGTCATTGATAGATGCAGATAGCTTCAATACTTGTTCTGGAATTGAAATAGAAATGCTTTGTAACTTAGCATGAAAGATTTGTATTTTAAAGATGAATGTAAAGGAGGTTTGATGTTTCTGCAAAAGGTTTGTTGTACATTGAAGGTTGGCACCAGCTTTATATCAATAGGAGATTCGACTGTAACGTTTGAGGTTGAATGGAATCTGTTTTTATGTAGAAAAATGCAATGATAGAGTGGCCTCTTCTGCAAAAGATGATGTTGCCGGAGCATCTAATAAAAAATTTTGCAGAGTCGCCCAAAAAAGTAAATGCCTCCACTTTTGATCATCTCATCTATGATCACTTTGTTTAAAGGTCATAGATTCGCCCAAAACATCATGGGAATTTTTTTTTTTCCAATTTTAGAGGTCCTTATTTATCGATCCTAAAAACTAATTACAACTTAAATTGAATAGTCTATAATCTATACTCATAATAAGTTCAAACTGAACTATCAGAGAGCAGGTATTAAGAAGTTTGAGCTCACAAAAGACTATATGAGCACGTAATATGAAATCAAAAATCTATATTCCTTTCAGGTATACAAGTCACTTTTCAGCAAAGAAAATGCTAATGCTAAGGAAAAAGTTGGAATGAATATATCCATACACATATATTCCGGGTAAATAAAGCCAAATTCTGCACTACTAACATCTCAGTATTTACCAGAAGAGAGCCTGATACACCTCAAAACAACATATAGTGATGATCAAAACGTTAAAAACTATGAAAGACTTGTCAAAATTATTGAGGGTGAGTACTGAAGTTTACAAAATTTGAAATGTAAAATTGTCGTTGTAGGATAAGAAGCATTTTAAGAAGAGAGGACAGAAAGAAGATGGTTTTTCTTTTCTTAGAAGTATATAAAGTGCAATGACAATCATAAATCTCAAAGCAGGAACTTGTTGCTGGGCAAATAAACACTGTAGAATCTAAACATACCCAGAAAAAGAAAACAGTAACTAAGCTAAGCCTAAAAGAAAGGTATCTGGAGTAATTTACAAAGATCTTCTGCGCACAGCTAGAGCTTCCTTTTTATCACTTGCAGATGGTAGTGTATACCATTTGCACAAAATAATTTATCCGACAAGAATGCCATGCACCCCTCATAGCACCAGGACCCATCTGAAAAATCTTCATAGCAGCACCAATTCTGAAAATGCTTGAAGGAGAGCGGCAACTAGGTTTCCAAGTAAAAATGGCAAATACACCCCAAATATGATGGGATTACAGTTTGATAACGGAAGTGCTATTTTACTTGGCACTTGTTGAGCTTTACCACAATGGTGAATAGGTAATGAATAAATACTTTACCTTCTTCTTCACAAGTTTAATCAAGAAGCAAGGACCAACTTTGGAATTATACTAAGTAGAATCCCTTATTGCTCTGTTGAAGTTTTCCAGTTCCTTTGAATTAGAACCATATATATCTTTAATAGCATCTCTACAGCACCTGCAACGCCAGATAGTATAAACCCAGAAAGTTTCTAAGGAGAATGGTAATCTATCTATGACCTTCATTTGATTTCCATAATTTGAAGAAAAATAAAAGGAAGAACCTGCAAGCTTCCTTGTTGAACTTATTCTTCTTGACTCCGTATAATGATTGGAAAACTTCAGGCTCCACACGACAAAAAAATGGACGATCTGAAATGTAATGTAAAGCCCTTACTACATTTTGAAAAGATAATAGGGTTTTCAGGTGCCATGATTACATGAGTGTTTACCTGAATAAATTGAGCATTTACGTGTGTTTTTCTCATAGTGTATGCACCACCCATCTGGGCCAATCTGATTTCTGTACATCTGAAATTCAAGATATCAAGATCAAATGCCACAACCAAGAAGAATACAATGTGAAATTAACTTCACCATCTTCTCCAACAACAATGCCACTATAAATGATCGGTTAATGCACTCGTAATTCATGCAGTGAGGTTTAAAGATACTGCTGAAATAATTGTAAAAAACGTTATCACTTTAAATGTATGACTTTTTGTGGTTTCAAGTGCGAATTTTTATTAGAAGAAGCTAAAACTATAAGCTAAACCTATTTGGCTTTTCCTTTTGTCAAAAGGTAATTTTGATTTCATCAGTTTAGTTACAAAATTGCATTTAAAACAAAAAATTCAAAGTCAAAAACTACCCAGATGGATTCTAAGTCACCACGATAAATTGATAATGCAACTGAGCAGGAAAACAACATATGTAACAGAAGCGTCATTTTATCAAACAGATTGTGGGTAGAAGGCAACCAACCTCGACGACAGACGGATCAGTAAAGATTTCTTCAGGAGTGGGGAAGGCAGGGCCCTTGTCTAGCTTGCAGCAAGCACCACAGCCTTCGACGCACTGCCACAAAGGTTCCTTTCTCCGCTCGGCTCCAAAACCTACTGAGCTATTCCTTTGTCTTTTCTCGAGTTTGGGTTTCTTCGATGTCCGCCATGGCCGTTTTGCGGCAGAGCTAGGGACAGTGAAGCAAGCGACTGCCATTGACTGTGGCATTTACCAAATTCGACTGTTCAGGCTTGGAATTCCCTCAGTAAGTCAATTAAAGTTTGGAACTTTTGTTTTAGTTTTGGAATTTGAGTTCTTCAGTTATCAGGAGAGGATAAAATTTTTAATAGAAGATGATAAAGTGCTCATAAAAATTTTGAGATTTTGAAGAACATTAATATCAGAATGTACTTTGTTAATTTAGCTTGAAATTACACAGCATGTCGCTCTTTTCCTTTGTCTTTTGATTCGTATTATGTCCGGAACATGTATGATATTAGAGTGACAAATTACTTGATATTTCTCATAATTTGGTACTTAATATATATTGTAATTTTATCGAAGTGATTAGTGGCAGGCTTTGTATTCTGTTTTTGAAACAACATCAAAAACTACATTGAAAAGATTAGCATATTCACTCTATTATTTCAAAATAATAGTAAAAATATAACCATTTATATTCAACAATTTAATTTTTTTTTTTTTAAATAAGAATAAAATTCAAACTATGTAACTAGGAATAACAATATATTTATATACAAATATATATGTAAATCTAAAAATGAAATTTCCAATAACCAAACAGGGCGTAGTTTTACCAGTACTGAATTTTCTATTTCATTTCACCATTCTACTTTCCAGTCAAAAACATGGTGGCATCAAATCATATAAAGGCATGTCGTTTAGCCAAATTAATGAACTTCAGATTCTCCCTTTTGATATTTTTCAAACTGAGAATACAAGACTTTTCAAAGCCATAATATGTCACAATAATTATAACTTCGGTTCAAACGATCTTGACAGTTTATAGAATTTTCGCAAAGATCATTTGTCATCAACATCAAAAAAGTCCCAACTCAGCAGAAAGTAACAATAGTTATAATTCTATGCGGTCTAGACCTGGAAACTGTTAACAATAGCTCTGAGGATAAATTAAAATGAAAAGTTACGGAAACTGATGTAAGAGAATTGAAGATTTTGATGATCACATACATCTCCGGATAGACATTTTTAGTTCAGATAAACTTTAAGGTGATCCACTGCCCCTTGGGGATTGTTGGTTATAATCATACTCATCATCAACAGGGCTTTGGTCATCTCTCGGACTCGGGCTGCTGCCACGTCCATTGCCCTCCAGAGGGCTTCCAGATTGGATTCCCACTGGGCTCCCTCTTTTAGGACTAGAGGGGCTTCTGCTCCTTCTCCTCGGGCTACCACTGTACTCTGAACCATCTTGTTGGGTCACTATCTTCCTACGTCTTGGGGAAGGACTATCTTTTTCCCTTGGGCTGCCTTCCTCTGGTGTTATGCTCCGTCTCCTCCCTTTGGAGGGAGGTGGGCTGTTCACGGCCTCAGGACTCTCTATTCTATCTTCACGTTCAATGCTACTCTCTCTCTTCACCGGAGACCTTGATCGACTGGCATAATACAAAGAAAATTAGTAAACTGTTTATGCCTAAAAAACACACAACTTGTTTTCTGACATGATTGAGGTTTAACAGAAATTGTTGTTCGTCAGGTCATGCCAGCCACTGCTCATTCAAAATGGTTATTTGCAAGCCTACAGCCTTTCCTAAAACTTCCACCTTCAAACATAATGCCAATTTGAAAATCATTTTTTTTCTAGAAAAACCAATTTAAATTCATATATAACCCCCACAAAAAAAAGATACCCAATCTATTACCTCCAATGTGGAAAATAAAGTGATAGTCACTAACCTATAGCTGCGACCACGGCTGTAACTACGACTCCGGCTTCTTCTACGGTAAGGGGAGCGTGATCTAACTGGTGATCTAGAGTAACTCCTCCCCCGTCTGCAATATAAGCAAACTATGAGAAATGCCAGCCACTGACACCAAAAGGATCATGCAAGAACTGATAAATAAGGTATCAAGTCAAGGCTTGAAAACATTTGCATGCCAGCCACAGGGTGAAGGACTAGCCTGATCAGCTCTCTGGGGCTATTTTTGCAGTTTCTCTCTATGTGTCCTCTTTGCCCACAGCGATAACATTTGTTCTTCCAGTCTCCAGCTTTGCAATCTCGAGCCCAGTGACCATCAATACCACAATTGAAGCAACGACCAGAACCAGGAGGTGGACCTCTGCCCAAATATTCCCGAGAACCACGCGGTACCTAGGACACAACAAAGTCAAGAATGCAAAACAATTTAAATAGGGTGACAAACAACTTCATTCTAGTTATCGATTGCTAAAAACTTTATCGAAATAACTTTGTAAATTAATATAAAAATTGACGAAGAAATAAAACAACTCACCCCCTTGGCAAACTCCACAACGATACGACTTCCATCAAACTCCCTACCATCTAAATTATACCTAGCATCATCAGCATCTCGAGCATCACTGAATTCCTGTAAACAAAATCAGAGGACAGAACAACTAACAAAGCAGCCATGTTCGCAGAATTTGATCAATGACCTGGTACTGAACAGTAAATTGCCATCTAAAGCCATGAGATGATTAAGCAATGGAAGAAAATAATAAATCAAAATGCCTTCTTGAAAAAAAAAAAAGGAATGAAATGAAATACTTACAACAAAAGCGAAATCATGCTTCATATCCACATCCCGTATTCTGCGTAAATTGTTGTCATAAACAGTAAGGCCATCATTACTTAAGTACTCCTAGGGTATGATACTTCATCTTCACAGTCACAGACGAACTAAACACCAGTTTGAGATTGTTGCCATTTCCATTAAAACACGCAATAACATTAGATAAAGAATCGCGAAGGTGCCCTATACATTTGGCAAGAATTTCCACCCATTCCACCAAAGCGACTCTCTCACCATAGACCTCCAGGTCAGGCAAACGCCCAGAAACCTTCAACAAGATCATTCAAGTTAAAAGAGACTATACCTAAGGCCACAACGTCCCAAGCAGATAACATGATGAATAGTTAGTATATATCGAAGCACAGAACAACCTTGGTCAAAATATAGCAGCACCCTCATTGTAAACTGAGAAGTTACTGAGACCCAAGACTGGAAGACCACGAATCCAAAGAAAGGTTTCACAACTTACACAACATTTTGACTCGATTAAATGGAATATGAAATAATTGCCCCATTCAAATCAAAAGAATCTTGTAGATAAAATCTAGAAGAACCAAATTATAGAAAGCAACCTTAACAAATAAAAGAACCAATGGGGGATCCATATCACATAGACATGGCTGATAAACACACACATAGATACGTGTATAGAGTAGTGCATAAAACACCATTAAATGTTAGAGGTAGATAATTTTTTTTTTTTGGAAATAAAATGTTAGAAGTATTACCTCCCATATCTGCTGAAAATGCGCTCCAGATCACGGGATCGCGTTCGAGGAGCCAAATGGCCAACATAGAGCCGTGTATTGCCATAGCGATCATCGTATCGAGGCATTATCAATCTGAAAAAGAAGAACAGAATATTTAATCACCCAACACTCAGTGAAAAACGCTGATTGACTGCAGTGAAGCATAAACTACAAAGTGCAAGCGCATCTATTTCACAATAGCACCAGAAATGCAGAAACACTTGCAAGAGACCCTTTTGCTTTGTAAAACTAAACGAACAGGAAAAAGAAAATTTTCCAATAGATTTCAGCAAGACCATTAAAAAAGCAATTTGTTGGAAACGAGTATGAAAAGAAACCTAATTAAAAAACATTTGATTTCAGTCAAGTTCAACAATTACAGATCGGTGTTTGATATTCTTCCCTCATACAGTGAATTACACCTGCAAGAGTTTTAATTCGCCCTGCAAACACAGCCACGTAAACCTAACTCTCTGTGCAGACAAAAGCAACACCGGCATGCATATTACAGATACACATTAAAATAGTTAAAACAGAGAATTCTATTTTCTTACAGAGATTAAACGAAAACTACAAATCAAATGGCTTCTCCCTTCCAAGAGGGAATTTCAATTGAACAAACAAAATGAATCAACTACAAACAATTGGAACAATAAAAACCCTAAAAAAACCAAATTTTTAATGCGAAGAGCAAATATACAAATTAAAGAAATCATACCTCGAAGGGAACGTCAAAGTAGCGAGCTCGTCGATGTTGTTGACCTAATTACTCTTTTTCTTGTTTGTGACGAGAGACAACAGACACCTCGGATTTATATACTGAAAATGAATCAAACTCGAAAGATTTGGACGAACAGGATTTGGTTTCGACTTGATCCAAGGGCTGATATTCAATTAGAGAAATTCGAACGGTGGTCTTCCATTGGGCCGTCACGAGACAATTATGACAAACCTGGGATCCATGGGCCTACTCTCATGCCTCTAATTTTTGTTTTTATCCCTTTGTTTTTATTCTTAAATATGATCCTCAAAGATGAATTCATCAATGTAGTACAAATTTCAACATGGGTTAAACATGATTTTATCGTGTACTGACCAATTCATATAAATCAAATTACTAACAGTTTGAAAAATTGACGAACAGAATGAATAAAAATATATTAAGACAGCAACTGGTTAGAAGAACTTTCGTAAAATTTAAATTCGATTAATTAATCAGATCGTACCTATCAATACTTTCTTCGATCCAAAGTCTTTAACTCTAAAGAACACGCAGTTCGAGGGGATGAATTATAGTAGTTCCTTCCATTTATCAGTATCAGGCAGAAATTATTAAGTGTTTTTACAGCTTAAACATGATTTGATCTTGCCCGCTGTAAAACTGTACAATTTAATCAATTTATATTCTACCTTCAAACTCTAATAATTTCAAATGAGTAATCTTAATTAAAAAAGAATTACATAATCTACATTCAAATTACATAATCAAACCTCGAATTCACAATATAAGTAAAATTTCAACAACATAATCCACATTCAACATGTTCATGAATGCGGAAGAGGTTAAGAAACTACTCCATAACTACAATTGCAGATGAGTTACATGAATTTCATGTTACCGTTTGACGTAGAAAAACATGAACTTGATGGTAAAACCAGAATCTGAATTAACAAATCACAGAGGAGTTTGAATTTGAATTTCTGAGTTTTGAAATTTGAAATCATCATCTTCATCTCCTCTTATTCTTACTCCCCAACAACAAAGCAAAGTAAAACAGAATCCTAAAGAAAAACCCCCAGGCAACACTGATCCAGAGACAGTTCCATTTGGAGATGTCTGTGATTCCTTGCTGCTCCAGATATCCACGCCAGTAGTCACACAGGTTGAGCCCGTAATGTTCATGCCCAACGCACCGCTCATGCTTTTCAACAGTCTCAGTTTCACCGACTCCGGCACTGCGGCGAGCGGCGTGTTGTCGAACATCTGCACGCCGCGGACGAAGCATTTCGTCGGATCTTGGAATTCGTTTTGGAGAACACCTTCGTATGGGTATTTGACTAGAGAAGCGTAATGGAACCAGATCCAGTACGGAGGGATACGGTCTCGAGAAATGAAGAATCCGCTGAAGAGAAGGAAGTAGGCTAAGATGGCTACTACGATGGTAAACCCTAACATCACGTGAGAGACTACACCGGAGAGGAAAGTGACGAAGGAACTTCCTGCCCAGAAGGAGGCCAAAATTGTGAAGAAGAAGAAGAGGAAACCGGAGATACCGCCGGCGAGACGTACTGCCCAGAATGTTGTGGCAGCGAAGGCAATGGAGAGGATAACCAGAGAAGGAATGGAGATTATGGAGTGAGCGAGAACGTAAGATGATCGACGATATGCGTTGTAGGCGGTTTCTCTCATGAAGATGTATCTTTCTTGGAGGAAGACAGGGATGGCTTCTGCGCAGGTGTAGAAGGTGGTTGACATGGCGAAAGCGAAGAACCCTAATCTTTCTTGGACGCCTTTTGGTGAATTGTCGAGTTTCCAGAAGATGGTGGCCAAGATGATTCCTGTAACGAGAACTGCACCTAAACGAATACCAAACAGTTCTGGCGTTCTTCTAGAATTGGTGAGTGATCTTTTTGCGATTACCATGATTTCAATCCAAAATGGATTTGCAAATGTTGGAACATGATCTGGAGATGTTAAATTGGAATCATTGGTTGCTCCTGAAACTAGTTTGCCTCTTGAAATGCTGGCACTAATGGCGTCTTTTAGTGAAACAGAGGGTTTATTGGAGTAGTTGTTTATTGGTTTATTAGCAGCTTGCCATGATTTGTTGAATTCAACTAGATTCTTTGTTCCATCTGGGTTTTCTTCAAGCTCCCGAATTAAATCAAGAGCAAACTCTGTACGATTCTCGTTTTCTGGAATTGGATGTCCAAAATTTTCAAAGAAGAGAGAGAGAGTAGCAGGTGAGCCACTGTAAACTGTTTGTCCATGTGAAAGAAAGATTAAATGATCAAGCAAACCCAAAATTCTGTAACTGGGTTGATGAATTGACATGATCACAATACTTCCACTCTGTGCAATTCTCTGCAACACTTTGACAACCATGAAAGCACTGGTTGAATCAAGTCCTGAAGTTGGTTCATCTAAAAACAAGAGAATTGGATCATGAATAATATCAATTCCAATAGAAACTCTTCTTCGTTCCCCTCCAGAGACTCCTCTATGTCCTTCATCACCAATTATTGTCTTGGCTGCACTTCTCAGACCTAGCTGATCAATCAAAGCTTCAACTCTTGATCTCTTCTTCCTCTTGGAAAGTGAACGAGGAAGTCTGAACTCAGCTGAGAACATTAATGTTTCTTCAACTGTTAACATGGGAAATAAAAGATCATCTTGCATAACATAAGCAGAAATCACCTTCAACAGACGTGATTCCAAAACCTCTCCATTCAAAGTCACTGAACCCTTGAGACTCTCTTTTGATATCCTGTCTGCAACAGCATCAATCAATGTTGATTTACCAGACCCACTTGCGCCAAGAACCGCCATGATCTCACCTTCTCGTGCTTCGCCTGATATGTCGTTCAACAAAACCCTGGTGTCAATCTCACCGGATTCAACACGGTGTTTCCCCCACCAGGGAAAACCGAGCTTCTTTCCAACCTTAACACTGTAAGTTAAGTTGTTAAAAGAAAGAACAAAAGGTGAAGATGCGGGTATGGAGCTGCAACCATAGGCTAGATCAAGAACTCTGTGATCAGCCGGACTCTTCACATCTTCAACGCGCATTAGCAGCTCTGCTAGCGTTGGGGAGATGCTAGGCTTTGCTTTTCTTGTGTATCTTTGCAGCTCCATTGTTGACCTACTGGTGCCGAGATTGAAATTGTGGCCGGCGACAATTGGGTTTCCCGGCAGCTTGTTTGATCCTCCAAAACGAGACATCAAGGTTAGTATATTGAGTTATTAAAAATGGAGTTATGGGTGTGAAATGAATTTATAATAGCTTGAAGGGGAACATGAGAGGAGGGTCAATGAGGTTGGCGATTCCAAATATCTAACCATTTGTGTGTAGGTGAGAGTTGCACATCCTTTGTGAATGTGTTACTTGAGGAGTAAATTTATCTTTTGGGTCATACTATAAGTTATTATCATTTTTAAAAGTAGAAAATTCATAATTGGTTAATTAAAAATATAATTTCCAAATAAGGATGTACAGGTAATATTCAATTTGAATTTATAATTTTTTATAAAAAAAAAATACATACTAATTATTCAACTGAATAATAGTTGATAAACTAAAAATTAATACTTTTAAAATTAACAAATAGGTTCATTTAATTGATAACAATATAGAAGTAAATTACCGAATACAAGAAACCGATACCAATATGAAAAATTCGCTCTTATAATTTTGAAGCGAAAAAATTAAGTTTGAATGCATGAAAAATTTGCCCAAAATACTCTTTGTTTCTGATTACTATTTTTTTTATAAAAAAATTAAATTAATTTTTAATTTGTTATGATTAAAGAGATCTAACTTTTTATCATAAAGATAAAAAAAATATTCTGAAATTAATTCTACTTGATTATTATAAACACTTAAGTAAAATAAGTGTTCGGTTTTACCGAATCAAACATTATATATTATTAATATATTGTATACCCATAAAATAATAAATTTTATGTTTTTAATAAAATTCAAACTCGTAACTTTTAAATATAACATTAAAATCTTAATTATTAAATTATCGCATTTATTTTAATATTTATTTATTTATTTTTTTGTCTATAACTATATTGCAATCTTCACATTCTAATTCAATCTTGAATTCTAATTCAATCTTGAATTCTAACCTTGAAGATGACCATACAAGTGTGTAAAAAATTTATCATATGGGGACAAATCACAAGTTTATATATGTGATTTTGTGA